GTCGTTTCCACCATCTGCACCCGGTCGTTTCCCCGTTTGTCGCCGACCGCTCTGCCCAATATTGGTACTCCGCTCTGCCCAATATTGGTACTGTGTGTGCGTGTGTGCGTGCGCGAGTGTTTTTTCTTTTTTTTCTGTTTTTTTTTTTTTTCGTCGGCCTTTTGAAAAACGGTTTTTTACGCGCTATACGCGTGTTTATATGTATTACATTATAGGTAACGATCGCCGGTACAGGCGGCCGTCGATACGAGGATAAAAATCAATAGATTATAATAACACGGATATAGTGGGTGCACAATGTGCCGCAGCGCATACACACACACACACACACACACACACACACACGCACATACACGCACATACACGCACACGCACATACACGCACACACATACATACGCGTGATGAGCGAAACGAGTTCAAGGATTTTCGGCGGCGGCGGAGGCGTTCGACTTTTGTGTGAAGTGTACCGCGCGGGGCCGGGCGCGACGGTACGGCGGGAAATCCCGCGCGCATCGCGGCTGCCCCTCGCCGAACTCCCCCCTCATTACCTCGCCCGCGCGCCCCCCTCCCCCATCGGAATCCTCTCGAAACGGACGTTTTTCATCGTCAAAAACAGAGACACTCCACGATCGGGCCGCGTGCCGCAGCAGTCGCGCACAGGATAATAATATACAACAACAACAACAACAACGACGGCGGCGGCGACGACGGCGACGGCGACGAGCGACGATCCGAGTGTGCGTGTGTCGTCGATACAATAAGCTCGTATATTATTTATACTGTTGTATAATATTGTTGTATACGACGCCCAGAATCGATACCGTGCGACAATATTGTTGTTATTGTCGCGACGCGGTCTATTAATAGTACCGCCGGGCGGTTTTACCCCTTGTTATTATTATTGTTTTTTTTTTTTTGTCGTCATTATTTCCAAGATAACGCTGAATTCCAGACACACTGAAATTGACATCGGTAAGTCAGCACGGGAGCGAGGCGGAGGGTGTAAGTCCGTCTTATCGTCGAGATTCTGATCGCCACAGAGATGGTGGTAGAAAACGGTCACATTAATATTGGCATTTGATAGCGGATGAGATTAGCAATCTAGTTCGTTCGTCGGTGTACGAAAACGTTAGGTTTGGTATGATAAGACGTATTAGCCGACGGATATGGTAAGTGGGCAAACAATTATATTGATTAACCCGCGAAATTGGTATTTGTTTATGCCATGATTTATGCGATGTTATAGAAACGATTTGCGTTTATTTTCAATCATTTTTCGTACGATAATTTTGATTTATCACATGATTGTCAGTATAATGTATGGACAGATGTTTTATGAGTCGATCAATAAAATGTGCTCTTTTACTCTTATACGTATGTATGGCTGTTAAGCTCATTTGTTTGAGATTCGGCTATTTAGTTGTTCTGCATATCAACTAGATATTTCGCTACAATAGAGATGACCTTTATTTCGTACCCGCTCGTTAAATAAAAAATTTCAGTTGCGTTTCACGTAGTGTACTACGGGCATTTTTTTTATAAATTCAAAGTTTAGCATAACGTCAAAAGTAAAGTGCAGCTAGCTGCAATAGTTTGGACTATGAAATTTTTGTTTTTTTTAGAAATAGTTTACGCAGACATACTCAGAAAAAGGGTCTCCATATCGTTTCAAAATTTGTGCTCAAATGGGGGTTATCTTTTTTTATGTGAATGTATACAGACGTGTATAAAGCGGTTAAAGCCGCCAAAGATGCGTATTTCGTGTATACCTACCTAATAATAATCAAACGTGGAATATATTTCCCTGAAACTCGCAAAAGACTCGAGGAAAGTCGACGTCGGAATTTTCACCGCCGACGAGTTATTGTTATTAAACGTGCTCTTGCGGACTCAGCGCGTTTCGCCACCCAAATTTTAAGTATTTATATTTTAAGTATAGGTATATATATACTACAACTTGGGAACACGGTACATTATATTATTATTACGTATTACGAGTATAACGTAATACTCTTCTGCGGAACGATTTTCATATTTTACGGAATTTACAGCAATGTAAATTTACTATGTCTGCGGAAGAGAAGGTTTTAGAATATTATATTTAAGCGAAGGCGCAACAAGACTGCGCATATTTTCAGACAACTCGCCACGTCCCATCATTGTAAATCGAATTTTGAATTGCCATTGTACCGATGAAAGTATTATGTTCGGAGTTTTACCGTAATGTGATTTTTTCTCCTCGGAAGACAATTTTTCGGTGATTAAAATACATACCGATTTTTCCTCGCAGTTCATTTAAAGATGCGAATTTTTCACCCAGTTGCAAAGTCGTTTTAAAATTATTTCTAGATTTCAGTCGACTATTCAGGGTTACGCAATATGTAAAATTGGAAGAGAAAAAACATTGAACGGCATTATGGATAGAATATATACATTGCGCATTGTGAGTTCTTAAGGACATGGTAATGAAAAGTGTTAAAGGGTTTGAGATTTCATAGAAAAGCACACGGATAACTGCATAATATTGAAGACCCTAATAATAATATTATAATATGTATAATGTCCCCATTTTATTTAGAGCACGACGCCGGTCGGACACAATATTCGCCTAAAATAAAGTCAGTAGGGTTTTTTTTCGTCATATCTTAACCGAATAATATAATTTTTACAATCGTATTCGTTTTCGGGATTACGGTTTGACGTCTATGATATTTAAGCTGAATTTCTGGCAATAGTAATATCGCTTTGCATACAATATAAACGGGATGTCTCATGATGATGATTCACTATCATTACGGTCATTATTATCCGAGCGCTTTAAAATAAAATAAATCGTCCAGAGACATTTTTAATAAATAAAAACTCGACTTTAATATTATATTCTCGGCTAAGTCACGAGCTCTGAGTGCCTATTAAAACATTGTACTAGGTTCTGTTCAACACGAGGACCCGGCAAGTTAGAAAATAAATACGTGTTCGTTGTATTTTTAACTATTTTAACAATATTGTGTTGGCGATAAATGCAATTTTTACTATATTTTATGTCAATATTAACACATTATTTCGTTTTGCGTATATAGTGATAAATTTAATTTTCCTCGATTTCGTTTTATATTGACACGTCGTTCATATAATATGGATTATTCATTCGATAAATACATAGGCGGATTCGATTATACCGACAGTTTGCAGATTTTATGAAATTACATATTATTTTTTACCGCCCTTGTATATATAACTACTATTATTGATATTATGTTTATACATAATAAAACTTGCGTTGAAGGAGTTTGAGGAAGAGAAGGAAATAACTTTAAGACACAATTTTCCGCACATTTAAATAACAATAAAAAAACTGGCACTCGTTAACCGACACATTGTTGATCCAAAAATTATACTTTTATGGACACTAAAACGTGATTAATCATTTTACGATGTTCTTCATACCATTAATTTTGTATTAATTTGCTCGCTTGCTTCACAATTGTCTCTATACTCTGTTCACAATAAGAACGTACCTGGACGGCAGATCAAAACAGACCTTAAAATATTAAATTGAATTTCTCGAATACTTTTGAGTTGTGTGAGTTGAGTTGAGTTTATTAGTTGTTTGAATTGAGTTCTTTTAGCCTATTAGCGCGTTCCCTAGGAAACAACGCATAATGGAGTCAGGTTTAGCTAACTAACTAAATTAACTAGTATATCCTATACTATAATATGTGTATTTTTTTTGTCTGAACGAATTTTCTATTAGAAATATTGGTTTTATATCATAGAGACGTATAGTGTCTTTTCTAAAAGCAAATGTATGTCTTATCCATTGGTTAGTATATTTTTTGATTTTATCTGCAGTATTCTTAATAATTTGAAAAAAAAATGTCGGATGAATACTGAAATTTATGCAATAACGGTTTCTCTTATTGGCGATATATTAATATTTTTTGTTTTTGGCAAATTAGTTAAAAATAACCGTTGATACCTGACATTTTTACACCAAATACTTATATAAACTCTTTTTATACGTAGTCTAATTTTTGAAACATTCTGGTGATTTCTGGTTTATTTAAAGTCAGTGTTGAGGCTAGGATTTTTTATACTGGTCATAAAAATACACTATGTCCTACGTAGTGCTCTCTTGAGCAAAAGTAAACTACGCTTAAATTTTTTTTTTTCTTGTTAACTGCGCTAGAATTTTTATCCGTGTTAAAAAGGTATAATGTTAATTGCGTCCTGTTTGTTATTATCATATTATATTATACAACTTGATTTAATTTTCTATCCACACTCACACAAATATTAAGATATTCAGCATTATGATTACATAAAAATGACACATTTGGTAAAATCATAGTGTTTGTGAAAATACCGACCAGTTATCAAATATGACTATTGAAAGTAATCACTATATGCGACATCGGTGCTAGTGCCCATGTCCTATCGATTAAATAATCATATAAGTCACGATGACCGAACAATTTCTGTTGCATCGCGAAAAATGCTTGAAAATAATTTCAAAAAATTTGGGAAAGGTTCGGTTTTGATGTGTAGTAAAAACGTGAAAAAAAAAACATTTTCAAAAACGGTAGGTGATGGTAACAGAATAATAGAATAAAATGTAAACCACAATCACGAATCATTTGGTAATCAAAACTTTCAAAAACAATTTTATAATTTTTTTGTTTATTTCATTTTGCAAAATTGTATAGCAATTAATTTTTAAGATTTTAGTCAGGTACAGTTTATACGTCATCTTTTTACATTTAAAACAAACTTAGATGCAGTTGACATAATTATGTGATGTTTATATGTATGAACCTGTACCATGGGCACAATTCACAATGCAATATTATACTATCTGAAAATACATTGTAGTTTTTACTTGGTTTTGTGAAGAACAAAAAGTTTTGTCCTAGAAACGCGCTTGTCTGCGCGTAAATTTAACACTGGGTTTAACATAAGTTGAAATTCATGTCCGGAAAAATAGTTTACCATTATGAAGACATTTTTATTTTTTTAGAATTATTTAAAGTTTAAATTTTAATGAAAATTTTAAACATTGGACATTTCAAAGGATATTTAACCGATCATGGCTCAAAACCTTTTTTTCGCTGGTAATTATTTATCTTTGCGTGCAAATATAAATTAAATCATTCTTTCTAAATTCTCACCTACAACATTGGCACACCCGTTAGTAGTATCAGCTCTTCTTTATTTTTTATTTTAAAAGCGAAATATAGTAAATTAACTTTTTGAGTGTTATAAAGTTTACAGTAATTGAAATTATAAAATTTGGTTTACAGTACAAACCAAATTATTCGTTATTTTAATTTTGAATTGGATTGAAAAACAAATAAAACCGAATAAAATATATATATATATTTTTGACCAACCAAACAAATATGAACCTGAACAAACACACAAAAAAACTCAATTTAGTATAATGTATAATATAATATAATATTTCGGTTTTTCTTTTTATCCCTATTTTAATTATAGTAATTCGAAACTGTACGGTACTCTGTTATGATGTTTGTTCATTTTTAATGCGCTCAAAATTTAACTAGAGTTATTAATCTAAAACATATTATAATATAGGTAGGTACTATTTGGAAGCAAATGAATAATTCGAAGTATTTATTTTGTAATAACAATTTTAGTTTTTTTATCTGCGATCAAAATTTGCATTCAATATCGATACACGTGCAATATCTATATTATGATACTATTTTTATAATTTAAATATTATCGACGAAAGGTTAAATGATTACGTACGTTTTTTTTCTTTTAAAACTACAATAAATTATATTATTGTCCGCAATCAAATCAATGTTGCAGATAATCGATTCGGTACGAGCTTATTCGAAAAAAAGAGTCTATTTTAATTTTTCACCAACAGCCTATTTACTGGAAGAGATTAGGGAAATGTAATAATATCTTTTCTCTTGGCCTTTTGTTAGTATCTATTATTTATACGGTCACCTACAAGTTTACATTTTCAAATTTCAATTTCTTTACATTTTTTATACTCTTACAAAAAAAAATAAAAATGCGTATTTTTTTTATCTATCCCGAATAAATGTCTTACATTTTTACACAATTTTCAAATTCTATGCATTCTTCACTGGTGAAATCCTAAAAACGCCGTATTTTAGATTTAAAAAAAAAAATTAAATTTTTATATTGGATTAAAGTCACAATTATAATAATATTCCGCTGACGTTTCTGTATACGCGATGTTCCTACTGATGCTTTTTACATAATTTTACGGTGCCGATTTTGTCAAGGGGAGCGAAAAAATTACATTATATTTTGTTTTGAAAACTGGCTTACGCTCTCGATATAATAATAATAATGTTATCATAGTATCATAAAACGTAATACGTTATTGCGCAATGTAAACGTGTTCCGGAATGAATAATAATATCATTATTATTATATATTTACTTGATGCGTTTGTGTAAAAAAACGTTTGCGCTTTGTCCGCAAGTCTGTGACACTTTTCTATAATGTGCAAAGTAAATAAAACGAACCGTGGGCTCTCCGGCTCATCGTAAAAATTCAACAGACTGTCTCTCTCTTTATCGTACAGTTCATAATCACACACACACAAAAATAGGTGTCGTTGTGTATGTATATATATATATATATTATGGTAGTCTTGTATTGTATACGTCAGTTTTGTTTTTCCATATTCCCTGTCCTGTTTTTTTTTTTGTGTATATATATAATATATCCTCGAGCAACATCATACGCAAAATGGTTTTTTATTGTGTTTTATTTTCATTATTTTTTGCGCCTTTGCTAAAACTTAAACTCGAGTTCTCGTTTGTTCTATCGTCGCGTCGCGTATTACAACATTATTATGTCGGGCGTACAAAGTTGGTCGACGCATCATCGAAGTATCGATGATGTTATATTACTGTATTCGACCGTTTTCCGCTATCTCGGGGCAAAAAATCAAAAAATAAAAATAAAATATCCCAGAAATGATAAAAATAAATATAGTGCATACAAACGGGGGTGGGTGCGTGGAATTCTAAAAAAACTACCGAGAGTACTTTGGCAAAACGATTGCTACACAATATATTTTTACTCTTGTCCCATTTATATATATATATATATATATATATATATATATATATGTATGTTGTGCTGATATTGAAGTATTTTTTTTTAACAAATGAATGTGAACATTTATATGAATCTTTCCGCGTGCACGTCCTTTTTTTCCAGTCGTAACAAATACAATAAATATTGTAAAGTCGAATTTAGCGGTTACACACACACACACACACACACACACACACACACACATACACACACTCACACATACCTTAAACTATATATACGAATCCATAGAACGCAAAGGTCGCGAAAAGACGAAATTAAAAACGTGAGCTAATCGTAAAAATCTAAAAAGTCGTTTTTTGTACACTTATATTTGGGCTTGTATGTGTGTGTGTGTATGTGTGTGCGTGAGTTTTTGTGTGTTTTCTGTATCGTCATTCACAACGAGAAAAACAATTTTTTTTCCTACTACCACAAGCTGCGCGTTGTAGTCGTATACGCGGTCAAGAGAAACGTGATCAAATTTTATAGAGAACCAAATTCATTGTTGTGGATTTTAATTTCGGCAGAGAGACTGCAAAAAAAACCTCTGATATATATATATATATATATATTGTATATATACAAGTCATAGAGAATCGAAGCCACCGATTAAAAGGTCGTCACCGAGATCTGGTGGAGATGATGTGGTACACACGTATATACCACTTCCCTTATCCAGTCGAATATATATAAAATATGTGCGGTCAAATTCCCAGAGGAGACCCAGTTTAAAGATTTGACTGCACTTTCAAATAGATTCCTATTCCGCCATGCTTCGTCGTTTGACAAAATAATACTCTTAAAAAAAAAAAAATCTATTATCACGCAGATACGACAAGGATAGTTCATATTATTATAGTAGATACCTATATAGCAGTCGTCGACTATTTGCGTTTACCAACCGTTAATTTTCACTTGTTCACAAACTATATACTTATAAAACTACGCTGTAAACACTGAACGATCAACGGTTTTCATTCAAAGTTACTTCGGATAAAAGTTATTGTTATGGTGATATCAAAATATCGAAAATCCGAAGAAGTGATTTTTTTTTTTTTGTATAGCGTTTAAAGTTCAGATTTCGAAAAAAACCGTAAAAATCGTCAACATTTTACGCACTGAATATATTTTCGTTTTATGTGATTTTTTTTTAAAAAAGATTATCGTATACTGTGTACTTAGTGATAAAAATAAAAAATAAAACCGAGCACTTAACGTAGTATTTTTAAAAGTTTCTAAAGTTTAAATTTATGGTAAAATTCGTTAAAAAAAAAAACCACGACAAATTTATAATGTACTATAATTCGCTATAATACGAATTAATAATAATTTACAGTTTAAATTGATCAGTAAATGTGTAACCGACCACGATTCAAAATCGTTATTTTTCTTACCTTCCTGAATTTGTATAATAATTATTTTTAATTTCCAATACTAATTGTTATGTTTCAAAACAATTGTAACAGTATACCTAAACGTTTTGTCTGAAAAAAAGTTTACTCCTCGTTAAACGCACACCAAATGGAAAATCGCTTTTAAAAAGACACTTGGTATGTAGGTATAACTTTAGGTAGTTGACGCATTATTATTACGGAACAAAATTGAAAATCTCGATAGTTGTTTTTGTTAAAATTAATTTTAAGGTTTCCGAGATATTATTCGCTGTGGAATAGCAACGTAAATTTAAAATGATTTCATAATATTTGAATACCTGTATTATATCTTATACCAATATAAAATTTATCTCGATGATTCAATAAGTTCGGGTGCAAATTAACTGTTACGAAAAGTTCATAATAAATCAGGATATTTTTTAAGGAGGTTTTCTACGTCCAAATGGACACAGTAAAATCCATTGAACGTCTAACAGAGTAGTTCAATAGGATTTTACTTACAGCGAGTCCATCACTGTCCGCTAGAAAATACGTGGTTTATTATTGAATTAATAGATTCTTAAATATTATATTTTCGTGGAAACCACTGGGAAAAGTTTAAAAGTTAAGTGAAAGGTTTGGTATATCTGCTCGTGGATATTTTTTTAATGGGTGGGGAGAGAACAATGGTCACGTGGTGGATATTCACTAAAAAAAAAAATGCCTTGTTCGTAACAGTTCAATTACGATGTATGAACTATAGTGTATACTCGGTTAAACATACATTTTTTAAACTAGTCCTTTTATTGCTACGGCGGACAAACCTTTGGTTCACGATCGTTTAATAATTTCTAGATTTTTAGATTCTAGCCGTATTAGTTTTATTACGATGTGTGTGTAAGTGTGTTTATTTTGGGAGAAATGGACGACGTATTTACGACGTTACCATTTTACCATATTAAATGTATACGATTTAGGGCCAGTATTACAATCGTCGGTTTTGTTCCAGTTACGATTTAACGCTCCGTAACAGATAATCGCCTGTATTACAATCTTCCGTAAGGCTAAAAAGACTTACTCACCTAGAGTTAATTACTTATGTTTTCTACCGGAAACATTGCTTCAAATTTTAAGAGTAACAACTTTTCTAAAATGCAATTTTATTTAGTTTGTGAGTTAAAAAGCCGTTTTTGATAGTTCCGTGTTTTTTATTAATTGGGAAAAACCAGGAAAAATGTTGGGAAACCGGGAATGTTTACGGAAATAACGGTGTCATTATTATTTAACATGATTTTCATAGAAGTCAACGTGATGGGAGAAAAAAAAAAGACACAGTAGTCGCGTAGGTGTATAGTCCGGGAAGATTAAAGGTAGACAAAAAAAAAGTAATAATAATAAAGACGAAGAAGATTGATTGATAACGTTTGCCGTTTTATAACTGCTCTCGCCGTTCAGAACCGTCATCTGGTCCGCGTATATATAATATTATACAAGACGAATGCACCTAGGTAACTGTGTTTATTTCTTCAAAACGCACTCCCACTTAAAAAAAAAAAAAAAAAAAAAAAAAAACTAAAATAAAATACCGAAATCCTTTCTAGTGTGCACGCGCGCGGAAAGAAGATAAATAGCCTGACCCCTCTCGCGGCGCTAGGGTTGACGTCTATACGGCCGAGACCCCTGTGCGAGTTATTAATTACAAAACGAGCAAAAATATAATAATAATAATAATAACAACATTACGTTATTATTGCTGTATATTATAAACATCGAATATCCGTCATCGCTTGCATTTCCCCGGGTCCACATTGCATCGTGTTACGACGACGCGTCTTTTTCTATATTTTTCTCCACGCTCGTTTTTGGTTTTCGCCCGGATATGACGTATTTATACCGATAGCCGGTATATGGATACGTATTATCTTCTTTATGTATAATAACACGTTCTGACTGACTGATTCACCGCCGCCTAGCACAAACCACGCGCAGATAGCTATTGTGACGTAAGCGTCCCGCTAGAAAGGGTTTTTGAAAATTCAACCACTACGGGGGTAAAATGTGGGTTTTTAGGTATTTTCGGTACGAACGTCTAGTTTTTCGTTTTGTTTATTTTCGTTTATTCGCGGGTTACCCGCTGGGTGACACGGATGACAATTTAGTCGGCACAGACAAGAAAACGGTTATTATTATTATTACTATTATCTAGCAACAGCAAAGCATCACCGGATCGGCCGGTATGATATGAATCGCGTATACACTGCGTTTCTGGCGGACGGCGGCGTAGGCGTTATTTTCGGTTGAAATTCAATTACCGTCATACGCCGTGGTGCCATGTGTCGGTCGGGAATCGTTTTACAAAGTGGAAGAAAAAAAGCTATTTTACATACATTTCTATATACATTGACCTACAATACATAAAACGGCACGAGCGTTCTATGTAGCAGCAACAGCAACGGTGCCGTGAAAACGGTCCCGGAATCATACCTATAGATAATAATCGTTAAGACACGGGTGGGCCGTGATGCTATTTTTCCCGTATGTGATCGAAAAGGACCATAAATATATATATAGTTACCAATATGGTATGCGTACTGGTTACCGAATCACGGTGTTCAAAAATCGCAATCGTTAACGGTCTAATGAAATTATTATCGTTTATAATTATCAAATACCCGGCAACTCTACAAACGACTGTGATCTCTAGCGTTTTCTTCCGTTACACAGCTACGACGGGATGGCCCGTCCGTTTCTTTATTAGATACCTATGCCTAGGACGAGACAGAACAAGCACCTACCCAAGGAAATAGTTATTTCTTTTTAAATCCTTCAGCGGAATAAGAATTCTGCAATCATCAACATCACACAAAAATATTATAATATAATCCCGCCGACCGTAAGAAAATGGTAAACTTGGTACCTACATTTGTTAAAATTAAATAAATTCAATTATTGTTCATCTATAATATAATATTGCATTAAATATATTTTACGTTATTTTATTCCGAGAAGTATTAGAAATTATTTTTTGCAATAAAAAATTTACAATTAAACCAGAGTAATATTAAGAAAGAAAACGGAAAAATTTTATCACGCAAGTTCTTGTGTACTATGCGTCATACAACAAAAAAAAAAAATAGTCACAACCTAAAATTGATTTCGTTTAAGATATTATAAATGATGTATTATAATTAAAATATAATTAATTTTAGCGAAGTATACTCACACAAATCGACTGTTATTCAATAATTTAATTTTTATAATTTGCTTTGGCGGAGCTCGTCTAAACATTTCCATCGTTTATTTTCGCAGTAAAACAATTTTTAATTTGTCTACATCCCCGAGAAAGAAAATCTGCTAATTTTTTCTCCCTTTAAATATATTTTCCAAGCACTAATTATAATATTTTTTAATGATTTTACGAAGAAAATGTATAATAATATATTGAAAACAAATTGTACGATAATAAGGTTAAAGTTGGTTTTTTTTTTCACAATATAAGTTGAAATTTAAATATATACACGTTTTATGAGGTACTTAAACAATAAAATACATAATATATTATAAGTAATTCATTTAGAATCCATTTAGGAATGATAAATGAACACAGTTATTATAATATCCAATTATTATGTAGCTGATTTTGACGTGGTTAAAACGTGGTCTTATCTATAATATTATATATATATATATACATAATGTATATGCGAATATCCCACTTATAAAAATATACATGTATATTGATATCGCGGCTTGTGCATATAAATCTGTAAAAAAGAAAATAAAAAAAAATAACATATTGTCGTTGGTTTCCTAGTTTAAAAACAATGATATTACCGAACGTGATATTATGATTTGCAGTTTTTCAGTTTTTCGAGTAATGATTCCAGAAAAAAAAAAAAAAAAAAAAAACCTCGTAGAAAAAAGTGAATTACATAATATTTTTTCTCTCGTAGTACGTATTCAAGTGCGCTTAGGCTTTCAGAAAAGTATACACACAGTGCACACGAGTGAAAAATACGAAACGTCCACCGATGAATCCAACGTACCGTACAGAAAAAAAAAAAAGAAAAAGAAAAAGATATATTATTTTTTTTTTTTTACGAGAAAAAAAAAAGACCAAATATATGAAAATATAAAACCGTACGAATCAAACGCCCGTACGGGACTTAATTAGAAAACCGAGTGAAAAAAAAATAATATATAAATATAAATAAATAATAAATGAAAAAACCCTCGTGAAAAAATATTATATTAAAGGACCTATAGGTATTATAATACATATATATATAGTTGCTATTGCTATAGCACCGCATTTTCCGTCATAATATTATTATTATTATTATTATTTTCGTTTATTGTGTTTGGCGCGAGGCATTTTCGTGCTGCACGTTCGATAAGACGCGTAGCGTGACCGAAACCCAAACGACCGCCGTCACGAGGTTACATAAATATTATGCGAGAGCCGTATCACAAAAATAAAAAAAAGGAAAAATAAAACAAAATTGAAATACAAAGACTTTACCGGGGGTGTATAACGCGTAATGCTGAAAGAATAGTGTCGATGCGTTCGTCTATACGATCGCAATATTACCGGTATTATGATAGTATTGTTATTGGCGCGCAGCGCACTCTGCGCACACTACACGAGCGCCGGACGAACGTTTATTACAGACCGCGCGACGATCGGAAGAAATTTAATTTAATTTTTTTTTTTTTTTTTGGGTCAGACTTTCGCCCTGGCCGCGCGTCATCGATCGGGTACGCTGCACAATTACATTATGGAATTTATCATTATAATATTATTTATAGTGTTATAATTTATTGAGTTCGACGGGGTCCTATTTCCGGATGAGCCGTTTATCTTTTCGACTTAAATGTATTCTTTTCGTTTCCCCCCCCCGCAAGTAGTCAATCAAAACCTCAAAGAAAAAAAAAATAAATAAATAAAAATATTTTCCGTTATGCGTGTGTATTTAATACTTATATACATTTATTAACTAAACGGTTTTTTTTTTTTTCACTATTTTAGCGGTACGATAATATTCTTAAATAACTCCGACGAAGAAAAATATTGGCCTTGAAGATTGACGTTACGATTACACGATGATGATGATGAATGCGTGTTCGCACGAAAAAATATTAACTATATATTTTTGTACACGAAAAAACACTAAATCTAAATCAGAAATTTATAAATTAATACTTGTCGAAAGACTATGATACATACAAAATAGAATAATTATGATTTTTATTTTTTACCGAAATTCTTATCTGCCGTATAAAAATATAATTAATAAAATAAAGTACGGGGAAGAAACAAAAACCGGGTGTCTCGCTCTTTTCTATTTTTTTCCACCTCGACGCGAGTCAGTGTTTTATGACTGCAATACCCTTATTAATTTTGTTGTGATGATGAATCACCTTTAAGATGTTGAAAGGTTCTACGCGTTTACTGCATGCAATAGGATAGGTGTAATTTTAAGTTTTCAAATTTAAAATTATTGCACAAAACGATAAATTATATCGTAAGAAAATGCTATTAAAATTGATCGGACACGATTAAAATATGAGGCAACGAACAATTGCGTTACAATTTTAAAAATTAAAAATTTTGATCATCCATCAATACGCCAAATGTTTCAAAAAATGTTCGATAATTTTGTATTCGCCCGGGAAATTCAATACGTTATAATAATATTGTCGTCGTATCGTTTCTTAAAAAAAAAAAAAAAAACATACTTATAATATTCTGTTGTCGAGAATATAATGACGAAACATTATTGTTTGTTAAAGAGTCGGGAGCCCAAGCAATCCTCTGTGCAGACATCGTCATAATATTCATTCACTATTTTTGACTTATTTATGCGGACGCGAACAATTTTCGTTCATTCGGAATAACGTCTCTTTTGTCCCAAATAGATTCGAAAGAAATGTTAGTATTGGCGCAAAGCGAAAAAAAAAAAAGGTCGAAATGGTTTTTTTTTTCTCTTCCTGTTGCAAGGGTGATTGCACTAAACCTATCTCGGAAGAGGATCGTACCATACATATATAATATAATATATAAGAATATATATATACAGAACTGGACGAATAAATATTGTAAATCGGATTCTGTACTGCAATTTCGATTTATTCGTCGTAATAATATTAGATTTTCGATTAAACGGAGTAAAATGTTTACATTGTTATACGTAAATTACAATAACGTGGTCCCCATTAAGACACCTCGATAATTTTCGATCAATCAAAATTAAAAAAAAAAAAAAAAAAAAAATTTCATTATAATGATAATAATATAAAATTTGTTTAATGTATTAAACTCGGTGAGAATAACCAAACGCGGTTGATTGTTCGACGCTTCGGTTTAACCAATTCGAATAACCTTAAAAACAACTACTCGCAATACACACTATTATTTTCAAGCTACAATGACGATATAGTATCGAATAAAATATTAACAATAACAGTATATTATTTATACTCGATGGCAAAACAAAAAAAAAAAATCAGGACCCACCCAATCGATATGGCCAAAACACGGATTTGTATAATGTGTTCTTTATGTTTCTTCGTATGATATTTATATGTAGGTATAATTAATAAGACCGTACATAATTCCGATCTCTCAATAGTTAATCAACACATAATATATTTGCAGGTGACCCACCCACTCGTTCATTTTAGTCACGACTTCACGAGGCAATCGCTTAAAATAAACCCACCGCGACGCGCCATTGTTTATTTAAACATAGCCAATAGTCGATAATATCCCACAGATTTCCATCGTGATTTTCAGGGATATAATAACTATTGTAATTGTGTCTAATTAAAATCGCTGAAATGATTATGTTAGCGAATAAGGTTTATAGGAACAAAAATTTACAAAATACAAAATCCGTGAATAACGTGAATAGCGTTTAATAATGCAGTAGTAACACGATTCGAAAATCTCATTTCAGGAAAAAGGAAATTGTTGAAGAAAAGTCGTTGATGAGAGGGACAGACATTTATTGTATTATAGGTATAAATCGTTTTTTTAATTCAATAATCGTATTATTTTTTTTCTATCGCGTAGAATTGGTACATTTAAATTTCATATCAAATAATATTATATTATCGTATCTGTACTTTAAATTTTATTTTATCTACTTAACCATACAATGTGTATACATATTATACAACACGCTACAGCGGAATAATTTGAGTTTAAAATATTATTTTATCAAACATCGGAATAATACTTTGCTCCACTGTACAGCGATGTACATTTTAATAAACATTTCAAAAATAAGATATGAATAAAGGAAGACGGGAAGGAGGACGCAACGACGATAAAGTGAAAACGAGTTTTTAACTGTATTATTTATTCTGTAAAAAGGTAATATTGCGCACATTATCCGGCATCTTACAGCGTTCTCTACTTTCGCAAAATGCAATCGTTCATAAAGTTATAGTCTATATTTAATATTACATTAATAATCAATATTTATACATTAGCATAAAGAATAAAAACACGAGAGTAACATCTCCGTTGTAAAAGAAAAAAAGAAAAAGAAAAACCTCTACGTTCACAATCTAAAACAATACAATATACATGTTCTACGAGTTCAAACAAAAGCCCACAAATTAACAAAATTTAAAAAAATAGCGCAGAGCTACAAACTTATCACTCTGTATATTGTATAATTTCTCCACTATAGTAAATCTATTATATTATTAGGTAAGTAGTAACAATTTATGGCGCAGATATCGTAACCTATCCCGCTGTAAAAAAAAAAAAAGACAAATAACTTGCCGCCGCATTTAAATAAAATATATAGTGTTCCGGAAGAATGCGTTTCTCTCGCGATTTCGATGTAATTCTCGCGAATGATTTGTCTCTTGTGTCCCTGTAAGTGTCCTGGTAAACCGTGTCCAACTACACGGCGGCGTCTATTACGGCCTGTATTCAATGCTATAGAACATTTGTATGCATTTCCCGTTATTGTTGAATGTATAAACTGTGCAATTTCTCGTGTGCGACTTATTTAAAATTTGTATTGTTCCAGAGGATTCGAATCCTTTTATAGTCACTGTCTATTTAAACGGGATTTTCTTTGATTTTTAGTCCAAACAAATACCGACACGTTCACGAGCAATCGTGAAATTGCCCCTCCCCAACTTTGGCCAAATTCACGTACGTGCAGTCTCGTTCGAAAATGCGAGTATTAGTCGTCTCTAGTAATATTTCATAGAATATTGTTTATTTTCCACCGATAATTCCGGTAATAATTCGCCTTCTTGGTTTCGGTAAGTAGCGTATAACAATAAATGTTTGATATGAAAACCGCGCAAAAATTGCACTACTCGTCACCAAAATAAAATTGAAAGCTCAATGAAATATTATAGAATTTGCAGTTATAATATTTTTATTTTAGTCGAAAGTAAAATAAAACACGCAACTATAGATAATTTTTCTCTTATCGGAAACGTTTGTAATGGAACAAAGATTAAATAAAAAGAGAATAAAAATCCGCAGCGGAATATGGGGGATGATGTGAATGAATATTAGATTGTAAGTATATACGATACGCGTTATAATATAATAATATTTGTGCTCACGTAAAATTTATAACGCGAGCGCGCAGTGGTCTGTTTATCAAAAGGATGATCGACGGTCGTGTTGCCCACAATACGCAGTTGACCGGATGCGACTCTGAATAGACCTATCGTGACGTAATATGTTTTAAAACTGTTACAGCGTGTGTAAAAAATAGTTCTTTATTGTTTATTTGTTCGATATTTATTTTATACAAATTATATCTATGCGGAAACATATTATACCGATTGACGGTGCCTGACGGTTATGGTGGGCCATTTCCATAACCTACAACCCACTATATCTATTTTCCTTGATTAATTTTCCATAACGAGAATATAACATGTAATATTGTGTATTACTTACCTTGGTGATCTGCTTGAATTTCGCAAAGAAAATCGTTGCTCAAAAGTATGAGGAGCAAAGTATGAAAGGGGCATAGGTATCGATGATTTTATATCTTATTGAAAAAGTAGCATTGATTTTAGGGAATTCTTTTTTTATTATTATTATTTTTTAGACATGTAGCGCGATATATTGAAAACATTGATTTCAAATCATTGAATAAAATCCTTATAATAAATAGATATTGTATATTCTTTAATAATATTTGTCTAATATTGTACCGATTTTCCGTTTTTCTGTTTTTCCCATGTTTTTTCCCGGTTTTCACATTTATTGGGAAAACTCTTAAGAAAATCGAAAAATTAACTCCCTAAAGTACTTTTCCAGTCAGATTTCCTTTCTGAAAAAGTGCTACCATTATAATTCGAAAAAAAATTACTGGTAGGAAAATTTGCACAACAAATTGAGGAGTATTTTGCGATTAAAATAGTCCGAGCGAATGATGGCTTGCGTCTTTAAGTACTCCCAAAATGTATTTGTCTTTTTCCTATTTTAGGTAAAAAGGAAAACACCTAGGATGATAATAGGAATAAATAACCATTAGAAAATGACAAATATCCTTTAAGAATGACAATAAAGAGTTTAACATATAAAATCACATATAAATAACATATAAAATCCATATAATATCAGAACTTCAAAAATTTATAATTTCGAAACTTAGTCAGTCCGCTTAATTCTGAATTTTCCATCGATTTTAAATCTGTAATATACATATGTTAAGAAAAAAAAAATTAATAAATTAAATTAGTTTCACATAATGTTTTACTCAAACAATTTTCGTCAAAATTTCATGTTAAAATTTCCTTATAAAAAAAAAAATACTACATTTAATTAAATTTTCAAGCATTTCTGCTGAGTATCTACCGAATAAAAATTACACGCAAAACTCGAAAAATTAAAATGTCTATAAATATCTCAGAAATGGCTATAAAAAAGGCAAATATAAGTTTTATGTTCAAATTTGAAGATTCTACAAAAATGTTTAACTGAATTACAATAAATAACAAGATTGGAAAATAATAAAAGCGTCATTTTTGTAAATTTCCGGTTTTTCTTAAGTTTTATCCTGGATTTTCCCAGATATTATGAAAACCGCTTGGAAAATCAAAAAAAGACCTTCCAATAGTACCATATGGACAAAATTCAATTTCAGAAATAATGCCGCGTGTATATATGTCTTATTAAGATTTCTAGTAGAATTTTTGTACACAGGATAATAAAATAAAAAAAAAAAACATCTTAGTAAAATCAATACATTCTTCGCTACATTCAGAATCTAGAAACTTATTATGTTAAACTCTTTTTTTTTTCTTACCATTAAGTAAAAATTATAATGAACCTTCTGTTAAATTGCCAAGCATTTCTCTTTGGTCGGATATTTACATATAAGATCTAACAAATAAAAAAAAAAATTATTTAAAAACTTGTAAACAACAAAATGCTTATAAATAGCTTAAAAATCGTCATAATGTTTTGAATTTTTTAACACGTCTAGAAAAGGTAAACATAAGTTTTGTGTGCACTTTCTATTCTCTATGAATAACACAATACAACACAAAAAAAAAACCAAAGTTGAATATAATAAATCTGTTTTTTCCATAAACTTTCCTCATTTATCTACGTTTTTTTTTTTATCGGTTTCGCTCAATTAAAAACTACACAGAAAATCCAAAAACAACTTTCTTACTCCACTGACTAGATTAAAAATTCAACAAAAATATCGATGGCATTTTTCGAATGGTGCTGTTCGAAAAACTATTTACAATAATATTGTATAAGTGAATGAAAAAAATTAGCTGGATCTGAGTTTTTTTTCGTGCTAACTTTTTCACTCTAACTCAGATGCTTAAAAAATTTGTATTCACGTCTACTTAATACGCATGCATTTCATATCCTTATTCACGTGAATAAATAACTTACTTAATAAAATACTCGATACGCGATTACAAAACACGTGCATATTTACATGCAAACACCGATTTTTCAAAGTATACGATTGTATAGATTCGATGGTAATTTCACGTAAAATGGGGATGTCAAATATAAATTGGCGAGTAAATTACGAATTATATGGCTCAGGATAATATCACGAAAAACTGACTATGCGATTTGAACACGCAGCGGGCGCAGTTCGTTAGTCGCATTAGTCACACAACAACCACCATGGCATTCAATTCTCGTAATTTATTAATATATAATATTACATTTTTGAAATGTCGCACGAAAGTTACGAATACTAAATTACGTATGTTGTTGATTAGGTGGTTACGGAAAATGGTTCGACAGACAGGGAATACAAATAACAAAAATAAGCACACAACTATAGTAAAACTAATATACATTCCTTGCTCCGTTGAGAATCTATATAAAAAAAAAATACCTCGTATTTTACTATGATATACATATATAGAAATAATAATAATGCAAATAATACTATATCCTCTATAGAGGATATATTATTATTATGCACGTCAAAACTCGAAATTCTCTCCCGGCACCGGTCTCTCTCTCTCTCTCTCTCTCACTCTCTTTCTGTATCACATCACAGTCCCGGATGTCGAAAACTCAAAAGTCGCGTGTGACCCATTACCATGAGTACTTGTACCAGCTATAGCTATACCGCGTTCGTTCTGCGACGCAGAAATGGAATTTCGATACTCTTTCGTCGGCGATACGCCACTTTACAGATTGCCCGCAGAAGCGCCGTTGCTTCAATCGGTCGCACTAAAAAATATACAATATACGAAGATAGAGAGTCGATGATGATATTTTACAATATATATATATATATAAGTTACATTTATAATAATTAAAATTTCTTTTCATTAAAGGTTCTACGTCATACACATCGGAGTAAGGTTTCTGGTGAAAACAGTGTTCACTTAAAAAAAAAAAAAAAAACTGAAAAAAAGTTAACATCTTTGTAAAACCAATACATTCTTCGCTACGCTCAGAATCTAAAAAAACCGAACGTAATTACGCATACGCGATACACGAAACGAAACACGCGCGCGCGCGCGACAGTCCGATCACTGGACACTGAACGACTGAATCGGCTGTTGAGCGTCTATTCCTTTTTTTCAAAACTAAATCATACAATCGCTAGAACGTTTGTACCCATGTGCTAAAATATTTCATGTTCGCTGGACGCCCCATGGCCATTATGCCGTCACGCGAAGTCTTGACGCATTCATTTGCAGCGCAAATCACGTAAATACAAATCGATATTTCGATATTTTAAATACGGCCCCGATAGACATCGCAGTGTGTAAGTTCACGGTTCAAAAGCTACGAGTATTATTTGAACAAACGGATATTTTGTTATTTTTTGAACAGTGTACACGAGTATAGCAATCGTTTCTATTGCACAGCGACATTACGAATGAAACCGCGGTCGGGCGCGGGGAACCCCCCCCCCCGCCCCATCGCCCGTTAAAACGTCACGGTACGGGGTTAACGGTGTTGGACAAGCGCGCGCGCGAAGAACGCGACGGACCGCGGCGAAAAACGTTACGGCCGCGGCCGCCCCTTTAAATCCGCGCTCGCGGCCGGCCGGACCGTCATCGGCCGGCGTGACGGGAGCCGCCGGGACGAACGCCGCGGCCGGCGTGACGGGAGCCGCCGGGACGAACGCCGCGGCCGCCGTCGAACCGCCGGCACGGCTAATGAAACGGAACGCGCGCCGCGGTTCGGCGACGGACCGGGCGGGACGGACGCCGCGGCCGTCGCTCGGGGACCGTACCGCCGGCGAGCGCGCGGACGGTAACGTTTATAACGACAGCGGAACGCCGGGAGTAGATTATAATATAACAACGCGCGACGGGGTTACGCGACCGTAGGTGAATTCCGCCCGACCCCGCGGACGGCGCGGACCCTCAATCCGCTCGCGTTCTCCTGTCGCGCGCGCGCCGCCGCCGCGGGGGGTTGTTTTCGTTTTTGTTTTTTTCTCTTTTATGCGACGCGAAACCGCTTCTCGTCCCGCGCGTGCACGGCGCTAACGTCGTATCGTCACGACGCTCGTCTATTGCTATTGCTATTTGCTGTTGTTATCATTGTTACGTACGACGACGGCGGCGGCGGCGGCGCGAAACGTCGTCGGTATCACGCGATAACGTTTCCGAAACGCCGGTCTGCTCGCGTCGTCGTGGTGCAATCACAGCCGGGCGCGTGACGCGAACGTCTCTCGGAACAAATTCCGTTCTTTCGGATATTTTTGAGTTTTTGTGTTTTGTAACAATAGCTACTGGTAGTCCTCGCGCCCTATGGATAGTCTGTTTTTAAATTTTCTCGTTTTATCCTATACAGACCGTCGTCGATTTTTCGGTTTCGTGCAGAGTACAAACCGTAGGAATCGCAGCCTATACAACGCCCCGGTAGTCGCTTAAAGTACGAAATATAAACTTCGAAATACCGAACGGAACCGGAGTTATTTGATGTGTCACGGGCTGTATATTAAATACGTGTCTCAAAACTCCCGTATCGCCCGTAGCATCACCGCTGCAATATGATTAACCACGGCTTTTGTATACAGAAATTAAACGGACAATTTTCTAATTGAACAGCGTAAGTTACGAATGTTTTTTGTTGCAAACATATTCGCCAAAAAAATATACGTGATTTAATTTTTTAAATTTTCAAGGTGGACATTTTTTCGATCGTATTTCGTAAAACTGTTTGAAAAAATATGACGCGATAAAAACGGCAGTTCTGAACGCATACCGCGAACGATATTTTCTTAAGCAACGTTAAGAAAGAGTAAAAAAAAAAAAAAAAATTATAAACGCGTTTGTAATCGGTATGTGAATTTTATTGCGCCGCGAACGTAAAGGCGTTGTGTGAGGATACGGGACTTTTGGGACACGCCGTATAACATTATTATAATATAGCCGAAAACTAGAACGTTTCGCCGCCAGGAGGGGAGGCGGCGGTGGCGGCGGTTTGTGCCGGGGAAGGGGAGGAGGGGCGCGCGAGCGCGCTTTTATCGAGGCGATAAAAATAAAAGAAACGGCTGCGGCGCTCGGCTTCGGACACGAGACGGGCTAAAACCGTGTAAACTTTTAATGGGCGTTAAGTTCGCCTCGACCCCGCCGTCCTCGCCGTCACGCCATCACGCTATATTATATACGTGTGTACCTATATATATATGTGTGTGTGTGTGTGTGTGTGTGTGTGTGTGTGTGTGCGTGTGTGTGTGTGTGTGTGTGTTATACGTATAGAGCTAGACCACTCCAGATTAATGTTTGTACGAGGGCGCGCATACACCGCACCGGTTTTCTTTTTTCTTTCCCCCCCCCACCACCACTTTCCCGTTCCCGTTACGCTAATGGAAACGGCGAAATGACTTTCCGATCCCCCGGCCGTTGCCGCCGCCGCGGAGCACTTTCGCCGCCAATATAATATTTCAACACCCCAGATGTTTCGATTTTTCCGGCGACGACGACGACGACGACGACAGTAATGAGCGTATTTCCCTCGTCCGCGGCACGTACAGCGCGACATTATAATAACATTAACATGACCGTTTCGCTTCGCTCGCGTTACCCGAGGGCCAGTCCTCGCGGCGATTGGCCCGGGGCGAAATCGGAAACACTTTCGTACACGAAATACGGTTTGTTGTTTTATTTTTTTGTTTTTATTCGAACGCTAGACCCCGAAACCGCGTAAGAAAACGCGACGCCCGGGGCTCGGGACCGGCTCGCTCCGTTAAGGACGGCTCCGATCGTTACTGCGCGTAGGGAGCACCGGATCGGGCCCATAGCATCGTAGCACTATGGGCGCATATTCCCATGTGTTCCGCCGTTAAGCCGTCTGAAATCTAAACGATACGCCTATTATCGTAACCGTAATGCCGTAGCTAAACAATTATTTTATGACTTACGGGGTGAATTAAAATTTTAAATTCGAAATTATTGTGTTACTTAATCCATTTTGATATGCTTAATTTCGGGATGCTATTGTGTATTACTAGAAACGAAATAGCCCCTGTCATTGCCTCGCCCTAGGCACGCGTCCACCTCGCCTGTACGTTAATCCGGGACTGCGCATCGGGGATGACAATATATGGGGTTCCTTGCGCGGGATACAAATTATGTTGTAACGATGCGCGTGGGAATAATACAAAATATTGAATTTTGTTTTAATAATATAAATAACGAAACCGGAACGCGAATGTTTTACGGCGTGTTGCTGTATTAGGCGGAAAAATGGGAAAGTAAGATAATAACATTATATTGTTGAGTAATTTAATTCCTGTCTGTACGCAACGACTCTGAGCGAATTCAGTCAAACACCGTGTTTTGAAACGTCGCGAATTTTTTGTTTTTCCGTCAAGATTCGAACTCAATGCTTATGGGATGTATTGATTTTACAATGATGTTTATTTTATTTATTTTTTTTTTTTTATGTGAACACTTTTTCTACCGGAAGCATAATCCGATTATCCAGTACGGAACCTTTTCTGAAATTAAATTTTCTCTGGGTGGTACTTTAAAGAGGTCATTTTTTGAAATTCTCATTAATATTCGAGATAATGAGGAAAACCTCAGTCTTCAGGTTAAAACAGATGGAAAGATTGAAAATAAGGTTGTCATTTATAACCGTTTTAATTTATTTTTTGTCATTATTAAGTTTTTATTATTTTAATATTTCTCAAACAACTATTGTTGTCACGGAAACGTACATTTTTATTGTTATTTTACCATAATATGTTATGTACCATATATTGTATTGTTGACAAAGCAACACTATCTACTGAACTCTGCTCAGAATCGGTTTTTCGTTAGCAACGGTTTATCATTGCTTACAGATATACATTGAATTCCCGTCCGTTTCCTACCTCTCCAACTTTCTACCTACAACAGTGGCTGCACCCACGTGCGAAGTATGTACATTTCTTTTTTTTTTTTTGTTTTTAATATTAAGTACAACTTATTTGAGTTTATTTTAGATTTGTTTTAACGGAACAACAACAAAATAACAACATCGAAAACAATAGGATTGTACGTAAACGTTCATGTATTTTCTACGTTTTTTTTTTTACCAGTTATTAAGAAAAATTGTCTCTAAAAACATTTTTAAAGTTGAAGATTTCCGGTAGAAAAGTTGTTTACAATTAGAAAAAAGCACAAACTAGGCGACGTGGGGCTATGGTGAGTGATATTCTATTTGTTGGTAAATAAAATTATCGAGAAACCGCACCCCCCTCCCCCCACCACATAAATTTAATCGCTAATCCCTGGAGAACTAATACTAATCTACTGAATTTTAAATAAATCTCAATTACAATGTGCAAATACATTGGCCACTAATTTGGTAAAATGATTGGCCATCGTTGACGTTGACAAAAAGAACGGTATTAAATAATCGATATTATACTATTGAAATAACAGAAGAGTATAGATTTATCATACCACTGTTTACCTATAAATTATTTATACATTGATGTTTAAAATATATTTTATTTGACAAACAATACCGATAATAATATCAACCGTTGTATTGCGTATGATAGGATTATGTTAGTTTTAAAATTAAAAAAAAAAATAAGACGTCCTAGGATAACGGAGACGGGTGCAGCCACCGTTATAGTTAATTTAATATATATCTAAGCAAGTTTTATGGTCGAATTTTTGGACACGGGATAAAAAAAAAAAAAAAATAAAAAATAAATATCTTAGTAAAACCAATATATTCTTCGCTACACTTAGAATCTAAACGAAAATTAAAATAGGTCAACTTGCGAACAAATTCTTCTATCTGCAGTCGTTTTTATTTTTCAAAAATATTATAATTAATATCGCCGACGCGGTAAGCAATATATTAACGGTAAACGAGTAAGCGATTTCACTTTTTGATTACAAATCCTTTCAATCCATTTCTGTTTTTACACCCCTACAGATGAATTATTTTAATACAATAATATACACTTTAAACGGGTACCCGAAACGTAGTATAATATTTGATCTTCATAATCAATATTTAAATATCGCTTGGGCAGAGGCGGAGGGCGCAGTTATATTGTAAAATTATTCATTTCATTTTACGTATTACAGTAAGTTTCTTGACGCACAAACAATACTTACCTGTGCCGAAAGAAAGTCATTAATGTTAATTAATTCGTAAAACGCGAAATCGTATAACACAATAATTTTATTAAATAATACGATTGCGCACGGAAATCAACATTAATTCGCTACACTATGATATTATTTAACACGTATCGCAGGTACTTATCGATCAGCGTACGTTACAATTATATTTTAAGGCGCAAGGGAAGGCGGAATAAGATATTACAAAATTAAAAGAATTTGTTTTAATACGTTAATTTTTAATTACTTTATCTTCCTGGAAATTTAATGTTCAAAACAAAATAAACCAATTTGGCCAACTTGTTTAAATTAATAGATTTTCGTGATGTCGAGTAATTTCGTAACGAGTTGCCACGTAGTGGGAACATAATGTCGCACGATGAGCGAGGAAATTGTTACGGTGTTAAAAAAAGGATTTTTTTTTTCAGCAAAAAACATAAATGTTTTCCCTTTAAATCGTAAAAAAAAAAAAAAAAAAACCGTAAAAAAAAATATGTTATTCGACTTTTTTCAACTATTACAAATGTCTAACCATCTTGAACAATGTAATTTTTATTTAAAATAATACGTTTTACAATGCCTACATAATATTCACGAACATTAAAAAAGAATAGCGGGGTAAGTTGTTAGGCGACTAAACGTAACGCCATTTAAATGAACACGGTTTGGTACACCTATATTTCATATGACCTTCTCACTTGTTACTAAAAATTATTGTTTTCGATTACTATTGTTAGGGAACTGAATTTACTACGTACTTGTGAAGGCGACTGAATAAAATTGAAAATCCGGCCTTTAAAAACACGGCCTCTTCCGTAGCATTCGACAAAACTCGAAAAAAATGCGTACTTTAATGTAACGCTAGCGTAACCGGTGCGATGAATTAACACGCATAACATTATACTCGGTGTATCGCCCGCGTCCATATATTATGTGATACGCGCAGTGCACCAGTGTTACCGCTGCCAGAGTGTTTTTATTTTATTTTAAATCGGCTCGCGATGACAACTTGTACACCCCGGTACACGACCGGTCCGCGCACTCCACTGCTCGTACAATCCCCGGGACGATAACGCCGATAACTGCCGCAAAAGTTTAACGAGCGAAATGCAAATATTCCGATATTATAACACTGCGCGACATAAAAAAAATTGAAAAAAGCCGGCGGAAACTGATCGCGGTAACAACAATTGTCCAGGGAGCGAATGTCGGCGAACGCGGGCAGCCGATCCGAACGTTTGCCGACTCCTGTACACGTCACAGACATTTGAATACACGCACAAATGTATCCGGAGTGAAGGTGTCGGCGGTAGACGCGGTTTAAACCGCGCGTCGTTAAACGCGGTAACCAACGCGACGCAGTGAACAGTGCGTGGACAATGTTATGGCGCGCGGCGTCGGCATCCGCGGCCACCTATTACGCTCGCCGGCGAAATCGAGAATTTTATCGACGGCCGTACGCGCGCGGCGAAAACGTTCACGGGGATTTCGGACAGCTAACGCCCGCGCGCGCGTCAACAGTCTTGTCGGTTCGGGTTGGCCGCCGCCGGTCTGTTTTCACCCCCTGGACAATGCCGGAAATTCGTATAACGAATTCCCTGCGCGCGGTCCCGGTGGCCGAAACGAGTGGCGCGCGTATACTTTCGTTTGCATATTAAACAGCGTCCATAAGCACCCCCCGAAGGCCCGAACGGCGCCAGGTCGCAATCGAACGGAATTTATAATTGTCTGGCCGGGCCGCGAGCCGAGCCGTTTAACGAGCGCCGCGGCGCCGCCCGTCCGGCGAAATTGATTGCGCGCGCGGCGGACGCGCGTTTCGCGATACGAGCGGGCTCACCGCCCGCGGCGGCCGGCCGCGACCCGGGCGAGTAAGGCGTCGCGGCGTCATCGCGGAAAAGAGGAGACGGCGACGGGACAACAGTGGCGGTCGTACGGAACGCGCACTCGCCGCGGCCGGTCGGGTTTCAAGACGACGGCAATAGTAACGCCGCGGTCCTGACGGCGAGCACCGTACGGTCACTATAAACGGTGTGCGGGGCCCGGGTTTATACAATGCGCGTTCGTTTTTGTTTTTGTTTTTTTTTTTTTTTTATTTTATCACTGGTCCGCTTTTTTCTACCGGAAATCTCGCCCCGGTTTTCGGGTGTACCGCCTTTTCAAAAAGTAAATCGGACCGGGGAGGTAATTTAACAATGCCGTTTTTCGGTTTTTCTCAACGGATGTGAAGAACCGAAAAATCGTGGGAAAACCGGGAAAAACGGTACAATATAAAACGAATATTGTTAAAGAAAATATTCAAGTAATGCCTGTTTAATTATTTTACCATAATGCGACATAAATATATATATATATATATCATTGACAAAGCATCACTATCAATTGAGCTCCGCTCGGAATCGTTTTTTCGCTAGCAATAGTTTATCGTTGCTTACATATGTATAATAAATTACCTACAACAATGGCTCTACCCGTCCCAGGACTGGTATTTTAAAGTTTATTTCTTAAAATTGATAACTGAGTTTTTTTGGTTATCACTTATTCCTCCATCAATTTGACACGAAGCCCATTCGTTTGACAAATCAATTTTTTTTTTTTTTTGATACGAATGCCATAATTCTGTATTTTACGATTTTTCACGGCATTATAGTTGAATTCCTAAATGTTTATCATGCCCATTCGTTTCACTATTGTTCGTTGGTTTTACCCATATACACCTATGGTTCGTAAAGAATTTGTTTTCTTATGATATTATTGTGTTATCGCTTCAAGATAAAGGATAAATCGGTCGGCAATGGTTGCTGTGGTCTGTATATTGATTAGATTTTTTCGGACCATATTAATTATTTAATGAATACACTTTTAAACTAAGCAAATTCAATTAACGTGCATTTTGTTTCCATATTTCAATGATAATCAGTGGGTTTTTGGGCTGTTAAAGCGAGAATGGGACGGTAATATTTCATATTATCGGGAAATAACGCTGACGCGTTTTCGATTATACGAAACAACGGACAAGAATTGAGAAATAATTCAGTTTTTTTTTTCGCATACCGACACGTATAGTGACGTCGTGACGACGGATTCCGACTTTGGGTCCTAGAAATGTGTCACACTACTACCTATCCTATAACTTTATTACGGAAGTATAATATATATATATATATATAAGAACTGCAAAAATCTTTTCACCCCTCTCCATCCGGCAATAATATCTAAAAAGAAAAAACGCAGAGATACACCGTAGAAAAGTAATATCCGGTTCTCGGGCACTCCGCACGTTTCAAGTCTCATTTCGATACATAATTTTTTCCCCTCGGTAACTTCGGTAAGTAAGCTAAATAATAATATACACTACGGACGATGCGGCATTAAACCGATTGAACCGACCCGTCAGGGGAGGAAAATACGACGAGATCGGCTTCCCGTTCACCCCATCAGCCTCCTCGCACCCCTTACGCTCGTGCTGACCCTACTGCTCGTACACATACCATCATAACACTTGTTTAGTATAATTTTTTTTAACCTTTTATCTTTTCCGCTCACTATACCATTTTTTTTTTTTTTTTTATTTACAAATTATTTTCTCGCAATATTTATCTTGAAACTACTTCAGAAAATTAAATCTTAAAAGAAAACATTTCCTGCCAAAGGATATAAAAAAAAAAAAAAAAAAAAAAAAAAGCGCAATAATATACACGATATCATTATTATTTTCTGCGAAAACATTTAAAATCGTTTGACATACACTTTGCAGATTTCGTTACAATATTATATCCTTGTGTGAGATGAATTTTTATAAGTTTTACGTTGAAATAAAAAATGCACTAACAACAAAAAAGTCATGGTTACTGGCGGTTAGTTATATTTATATAAGGATATATAACTAATACTTATAGCATGTTGGACGGAAACCTTTGTGGAAATTGTCTATTGAAATTCATAAAAATGTAAAATGTATGAATTACGCGAAAACAAAAAGAAAATGCATTTTATTCATTGTAAAATGCAAAAGCTTTCAAAGTAGAGAGACTACATTCTCATATCGAATTGATAATTTATTCCGATTGTGGAATTCATAAAATATTATTTCCGTCCAAAACGTTTTGGCGAGTTTTCATCCGTGTTCGTTATTGTCGATCGGGAAACTAATATTTATCCGTAAAACCTTATCGAGCACCACTTTTTTATTTTCATGTCGGTGTTATAACAAAACGCTATTTCGGGCGATTAACGATTTAGGTTAAGAACTTTATAGAGATGAATATAATTGAAACCTGTTGCTTGTATTTCTGTGATTATATATCAGATATGCCATTTCAAAAAATATTATTAAAAAGTCAAGAGCAAAGCTTTTTAACGAGGGATGAAAATACTTATGGAAACTATTATTCTTAAATATCAGACGGTATATGCAACGTTAAAACGTGCAATTCGTATCATCGTGAGTATTTATAACAATAATCAATTTTTACAGAATTGGCCTGCCTAGTGAATATTAAAGCCATTTCGTGACACCGTGTTCGAATCAATTTTTTAAAATAGCTTGTGTACCTACCCACTAATTATTTAAACAAGCCCATTGTTTTCATATTTCATAAAATAACTGTATATAATTTGATTTAGTATTAAAAAAAAAAAAAAAAATGTAAAATGAAATACAGAGAACAATAGTAGTTAGGAACTTGTCTCGCTTCGCTTATTTCAACCCGGCACGGTAGTAGTTTTAAAAAATAAATTAAAACGTGGTAATTATTGCGTTCAAAAAAAAGTTCCGAGTTTAAATTGAATGTTAACGAAATACGAATTTATTATTTATGTGCCGTTCATCGATTTTTTAGTTATTTTTAGTGCGTCGGACTGAATATTTCGAAAAACTTACAACCCAACCCTAAAAGCGCAGGTATATCACCTGTACTCAATTAACCATGTCTATGATAATATAATATTATCATCATAATAACTCAATAAAACTTTCTTCTCGAAAACTATTAACCTAAAATAACGTTATACGAAACTCGTAAAACTCATAATATAAGTTCTTTTCTCTGCTAACATTAAAACATTTCATAAATTTTAAAACTGAACGCGTAATACCGACTAGTATTTTATATGAGTATATTACGAAAATTGTATTTTTTTCGATTCTGTGTATAGCGAAAATGCTTTTAGTTTTACTATTAGAGTTTTTTTTGTTTCGTTAAGATGCGGAATTTTAGTCCACTGGTATCTTGCTCAAAAACATTTTCTAGGTTTTCAACAGATTTTCTAAAAAACTAAAAACCAACAACAAAGACGATCAGAACATCGGTTTTGTTTTCTTGATTTTCATGTTATTTGTGGCTACATAAAAAGTTCATTGATTGCAATGATCTGACGTTACTTTCAGTATACAGGGTAATTCTTTTATCATAACTTATTAGTGTTATTACCATTATTGGGACACAATTTATTGTCCTTCCCCACATACGGTTTAATCACTCTAAACTGTTATTCGCTCTAATGAACGATAAATTCAATATTGGGGATATATGCACTTATTATTCAAATCAATATACGTATACTGTTAAAATCGAAATAGTGAACAACCAAATCAGAAATCAAATTTACTACGGACGATTCGTATTTCGTGTAAACGAAATTTCCCTAATTCCTACAACTTCTCAAACTGTCCACTGACAATAATAGCCTACACATATGGTGCAACAAATGCTCGGATTTCTTTTCTTTTTTTTTTTTTGTGTAATTTAACTTTCCATATAGCCGGTACACTCACCGGCGGTTTCAGGGGGGGTGGAGGAAGAAGTATATGAATCGCTCTTCCACCTTGACTAGCGTTTACATGCACATACGTAGTAACTCTAACAAGTAGTGTGTTTTCGTTTGAACCGTTGTGGATACCATAATATTATTACTTTTTTAGCGATGACTTACCATGGCGGTGTCACGATATTTTACGTACCGTATTATATAGCGATCGGATCACGGTATTTTTCGCGGGATACACTCACTACTTCCGGGGCGATAAAAAAACAAAAAAGAATCGACGATAGACGAGCGACTAGCTGTAAATGATCGTCGCGTCGCTCGGACCGACCGAAATTAATTTGCTCGCGTCTCTAAAAACGGGTGGGGGGCGAGAGAGGGGAGCGGGATCTGTTTACATAAATTATTCAAACTATTTTCGCACCTCGCCCCTCGTTTGGAGCTTGTTAACAACCCCCGCCCCCGCGTACGCTATAGTATTATAGGTACCTTACTGATATACGCAATATTCGTTACACTTACGACACACACCGTTTTCGGCAATAATAACATATTAATAAGTAGACACTCGTATTTAGTACGGTACGTACCGTCGTTAAATATAATACTGTATCGTTTTTGTTTGTGTGCCCGACCGTCTGCAGCGAAGTCTTACCCATCCACATGCACACCGTCGCCGCTGTAGCCGCGGTGTCACGATGATAATAATATTACTATTATTATTATTATTATTATTACTATTATTACATCGAAAAGGCCAAAAACGTAATACCTAATATCGCGAAAACCCATCGCATTATGTCTGCTGTTATAAGGTTATGTTACAACAGCGCACGCACACGCGCGCACGCGGTTTAAATATTTAAATCAACACATCGTATACGGAATCGCGCGCGTATTATTACGCCGCATCACGTGTCTGCCGCGTATAATAACGATATTATACCATCAATCTTTATATCTAAATACAACATACAATACCTACCTAACGAATATTACGATGATGGTTTATCCCCTCCCCCCCCACCCACCCACCCACCCATCACTCCGCCCCCTCCGTATATGCTCAAAAGCTTAATTTAATGTATGCGATGTATATAATGTTGTTGTTATTATTATTATTATTATTATTATTATACACGAAATACATTATACACGCAAACGTACGCATATACCTACCTACATACGTACGTTTCAAAATTATTATTATTATTATAACACGTCTTGTAAAGCAGATAGGTAGGTATAACATAATAACATAACGCAAGTTTAAAAAGGAAAAAATAAATGTCCGTACACGTATAGTTATTAAATACTTTAACGGGAATTTACTAGATATTGTAGTTTTTTTTTTTTTTTTTACTATAGACAAGTACTCACCGTGTTCATTTCGCGTTCGTCCACGTCACACACACTCGTAATCGGCGGTGTTCCCGCGGGGAATAATGTAAAATGTTTGGTGTTTTACTGTTTATTTGAGAAAGCCGTACTATACGGGTCGAATAAATCTAAACCAAATTCAAAACAGAATTCTGAAAAGAAATCTGACTGGGGTGGTACTCTAAGGAGGTGAATTTAAGATTTTCCCCGCTGCTTGCATAAACTCCTTTTTGAAAAGTGAAGCTATGTGGGTCGCGATAGACTTTTGGGGGTAAATTTGGGCCGCTGTCCTAAAAAGATTGAGAACCACTGTAATAAGCCATTAACGATATTATATCAAGTCGCGAGTTTAGGATTTCGCTAAGGACAAAGGTACTGAATTTGGAAGCTGCGCTATATTGTGTTTAACGCGTATTTACGTTCAGTGGTATTCAATGTTAACACATGGTATACTAGTATACTAAAAAATATGTGTCTAAACTCTCAACATTTTGTTAAAAAATCAAATAACAATTATTGCTTACTTACATTAAATACAAATTGATACACAAATAATACGTTATTTGCTTGTCCGTGAAATTGTACTCAAGCGATTCGTCGTGTATATTTTGACTAAACCAGTGGTTTAATGTTGGAGGAGTTTCATTCTTCTTATTTCAGGTATAATTATTGGTGTCCTTTAGTCTTGAGTCTTCGGAGTCCGAAAAGACGTTTTAGTTATTGCCACTAAGACATATTTTTTAATACTATTTTAAGTACTCTAACCGGTTTTATTGAAAAATTATTTTATACCTATCTGATACATAATCACATTCTGGTTTACATTATTTTTCCTGAGCAGACACGTGCATAGGATAATATTATAAAAGAAGTTCAGCCTATTTTTAAACGCTGTTCGTATAACATGCTTACGAACGGTTAATGTGCATGAGAGAAAAGTGCTTTGGAAGTTTGTCTCCATGACGGGTTCCCTGAAAGTTTGATTAAGTTTAGTTGATTGTCAGGAACGCCCCTCAATTTTCGTTAATATAGTCACCCTTCAAAGTTTTTCTCACTTTAACCACTAGACTAAACCAAAATATTTAATTAAAATCTCACTCGTTTCACTGGAAACTCGGAATCAGGCGTAAGCTCCATTTATTGTAACGATTTGTGAGTACACAAATACACAAAGAAATAATATGTCCATTTTTTTTTTTAATGTAAGTACAATATATTCTAAATGATTTTATTCTTATTAAAAGAGCGTCCTACTTTAAAATTTACCCATTGTAATATTTATGGAGATAATAAAGATAATTAAATTCTGTTTTTTTTTTATATATATATATATATATATATATTGCTCACAGGGATAAGGACTTTAAATATTTATATTTCAAGTTTTTTTTTTGTATTTTGGAAAAACTTAGATACCTAACCATTTATAAAGATTGTTCTTCTGTACATTTTCATGTATCGACTTTTAATTTTCGTCAGAGTCGTGATTTTCAATATTTTTTTAAAGTTCAGAGGATAATAGTGTACAGTTATCTAGCCATAATAATAATAATAATAACAATTATCAATTAGAAAATATGATTACAGTCTACTGGATAGGTTCTATTCTCTGAATTTTTAAAATCACAAATTTAATGAAAAAAATTAGTCGATACGTCATAATGTTCAGAAGAATAAACTCTATAAAATTACTTTATTTAATATGTTTATAAAAAAAACAAACGGAATTCGATTATCTTTATTATCTCAGGATATATTGCACTGGTTACATCTTTATAGGACACAATATATTTATTATTATTACTATTGTTTATTCTTCGAAAAGATAATGGGTCCCACTGAACAGTGGCGCTTATATATATATATATATAAGTAATGCATTTATTTCGTATTATTTTGTATTGATGCCCAGGGTTATGTTCGGTGTCGCTCAGTTTCCGCAATACCAGAATACTTTTTATATTCCGGGTAGAAGAAAAAGAAAATGCTGTTATTCATTTCGTTATAATAATATATATATGTGTGTGTGTGTGTGTGTGTGTGTGTGTGTGTGTGTGTGTGCGTGCGTGTGTGTATACGTTTTTTTTTCTCGAAAAACACTTTCCGCTGTAGCAATAAAATCGCTCAAAAAGTTTCGACCGGCAACTTTATAAATGGGTAATTGAACATGGGTGGCACTTTAAAGCAGAGTTCAACTACCGAATTTTTCAATATAATATAGTTCTCGTAAAAATTGCGAACAGCTGAACAAAATATAATATAATACGCGAAAAGAAATAAATAAAGCAATAAGAGTTCAATTCACAGTAGTATACGGTGCTCAAAATTGTTTTTTTGATAACGACGTCTTATTATATCAATATTACAGAAATGTTCTCTATTTAAAAAATAACTATATTTATTATCTTTTGGCTCGTCTATAAAAATAAAATCGGAAAAAATGATTAAATACGCAATAATACGTGTACGGTCTCTACAGCTTTTCTTTCAAAAAGCGCTATTTTTTCTCAATATTTTTCCTTTTTTTTTACTTGCTAAAGACAATCCTCTCTGAATAGCCATTCGCTAGTGTTTCACATAATATTTGTACTTTTTTTTTTTTTTTTTAGAAACGACACGATTTACTTAACAATTTGATTATGTATATATAATATAATATAGCTTATTTAGTGCCTTTCAAGTAATTATTGTTCTCCGTTTGGCACAGCTGTGTAGGTCCGTTGTCGCCTGCGTTCTCCATCCTCCTTTTTTCCCCTGCCATCACGGTGAAGTTATTGACAATGTACCAGTTGACAGTTCTCCATTCGACGGCAGCATAATTTTCACCGTGTTTTCTGATTCCGCACTGGTCCTCCGCGATCCTTGTTCGCGTGTACCAGGCATCGCGTGTAAACACCGTACAGTATAAATCATCACTGGCACCGCCGCCAAACCCACATACTCCACGTGTAACGGTGTATTTCGGGTAAACGGATTATAACCGCAGGGTCCAATCAGGAAAAGTGGTGTTCGACGGCGATAAACGACGGAAATATGATAACTATAAAAATAATCGTTCTCTATGTCGCCGTATCGTGTGCATTATAAGATAATATTGGTGTGCATCGTCGCCGCTGCCGCGCGTATAGACTCGGGGCATGCATAATGATGTTTTCAAGAACAAACAAACCATCCGAATCCGATACAAGTTACCCGCACAGTGCCGTGCGCAAGGGGCGGTAGGGGAGGGGTTACATAAAACCTTAATGGTTTGAAAATACAACGACTATAAAGTATGAACAATGAACATTCATATTGTGATTCGATCTTGAAATGTAAAAATTTCAGCCAAGTTATAAAAAAAACATTTGATTTATTGAATACAAATTGGCTTTTTTAGATCCTGATTTTGAATTATCACTGTCGGGTTGAATAAATAGAAGAAGCGCAGTCTATGATTTATTCATGATTAGTATTATTCACTATATCACTTTCCATTTTATACGGCATTATAGAATAATATTATGGTTACGAAAAGATAAAGGATAGAAATTTACTCGGACACGGTTTTTATTTCTTCGAAAACATTTTTTCGGTTAATAAAAGAACTCCGAATCGTTCACGTTGTACTTTTAAAGATATGGATTTTTCATTTCCAATGATATCGAATTTTAATGACTTTTCTAAATTATCGACGGTTTTTTTTTTTTGAAAAATCAAAAAAGACTGATAATACGTCAATTTTATTTTTGTTTGTTTCTAGATTGAGATAGGGGAAATAATAACACTACTAATACAATATGATCTTACCCGCCAGCTTACCGAGCTCTGATTTCAAAATCGCTTTTGTGATTGCAATGATTCATCGTTGTTTTACTTAAGTTAATACTTATACTTACTGTATTATTTTTCAAAGGGCTTTTAATCCGTTCAAAATAAAAATAAATAAATAAAATCAATTTTTTTTCAAACCAAATTATCCTATGCATTCTATACCTCCTCAACTAACCACCTACAACAGTGGTTTACCCGTGTAACAAAATATGTCCGGAATTTTTTAATTAATGTGATATTACCGCCGATTTTTTTTTTTTATTTTGCCGTTAACACAATAATAATATTTTTACGCGCATTATTTCCAGATAAAAATCGATCATTATTTCATTTCCATCCGTCTAATGGTGTTTACGTGCAAATAAAACTAATACCATAATCCCGCGGAAGGGGCAGTGTCGAATAAAATCGGGCCGTACATAATTTAAGCGGCGGCAGGTAGTAAAATTGCTAATAATGAATATTCAAAAACGCCAAAAATGCGCGACAAAAAATCCAAACATTTACGAATTAGTAATACGATAAGAGTTCAATAATTATATAATATTAATAATAAGTATATTTTTATCTTTTATCTTATCTGAGCCGATGTCTGAGTGTAATAATTTAACGATCTAGAAAAATTGTTTTTAATCGCAATTCACTTATAAGTAATAAGTACTATACTATTCATCCTCGTTACGTTATCGTTTATTCAAAGTATCCATAGTAAAAATAAAGCCCTTCGAATTATTCCGGTTGAAAATGTCACCGTTTAAACCGTGGCACATAAATTTCTAAAGGTGTTTTAAAATGCAACACAACTGTTTGATTTTATTATGCATTGCATTTGGAGGAAAATAAAATATGATGTATTTTAGACAAATATTATAGTCAAGAATGTCAAGATTTCGGATTTGCGTTACAAGTTTGACTGCGTTTTATTCGGAATATTACGGGATACTTATACTGAATAACGGATATTTCCAACAAGGACATTTTGATGTATGTTATATTTTGAGGGTGCGCCGTAATTTAAATATTTATTAGAAATAATAGGTGAAACATTTAATTTATTTTTGATGTATGGTTTCACGAGTCAATTATTAAATTGCATCAATCACACGACCTTTTTGTAATCCGTTACACTTTTCTTTCGTTTAGCACTTCACAATATTGTACGATGGGTAGGCAATGAACGAAATTATATATTTTTTTTCCCCGAGATAAAAAATATTCGTTGGTTATTAAATTAGTAATTATTTAAAAATTGATCATTATTGGACGCCGATTGTATTATATTTTTATTTTACGTTATTAGAAACATCACGGTTTTGCCAAAACGTACTCCGGTGTACACTCGTGTACTCCGGTTTAAGTAGCGGTAGACTACGAGGGTGCAAAAAGACAAAAACAATATATTTTTTTTTTTTTTTCTCCGAACGCGTGAAATTGTACGATATTTTGGCAGTAGATATAACACACAAACAATTCCGATCGTTTAAAACGAAAAATAAAAACTCTACCACGGTGTTTTTTTTTTCCTACGCACTTTGCGAATTCCCTACGTATATATATATATATATGTGTGTGTGTGTGTGTGTGTGTGTGTGTGTGTGTGCGTGTACTCGTTAACAATCGTGCGTTTCGGAAGAAATTCGTTCACGCAACCCGGATGTGCGAATGCCAAATATCTGAACGTGTCTCATCCCATATACCGGGTCAAATTATAATAATATTTGTATTATTATTATTATTATTATATTTTCGCTTGGTACTTTGCCATGTGGTCGGGGGAGCGCATTAACGGCTCTGTGGACTACATGGATCAATAATAAATATATATACATATATATTCTAAGCCCGGTCCCACCACCGACGACGGTGTGTAGTCGAAAGTCTGCCCCCCCTCTCTTCTACTTCCCCCCCTCCTAGTACGGGGCGCAGTAATATTTTCTTAGGTGCCACTTTCAGGACGGCGGCGCGGCGTTTGACCGGAGTTTTTGCGCTCGCACCGCGACTTCCGGGCCGTGTCCTATCACGCGCCAGGTGGCCGACGGCTCTAAATCAAAATAATGTTGAAATTATGTGTACATATATATAATGTACGGTGTACGAGACCCGGCGCAGTATGTTATTATTATAATTACTAATTGGCACGGCCGTTTCACTACCTAAATACAAACGAATATCAGCACCGAAATTTTCCGATTATTATTTAGTGGTTGTCGCCGTTTCCGATCCACAACCGAAACGCGTTAAAAAATGCATACACGTTAAAGTTAACGTATCCCGTTACGCGTCGGTCCGACACATAAGTCGACAATTTATACAGAACTCCTTTTGATCGCAAGCAATACGGGAAATCCGACCCAGGAATATAACGACGCAAATGCCTTGTTACCTGCAGATTTGCGTTGCGTGGATAGAGGAACTGGACGTATACTTTTCGGGTTTCGGGCTGGTTTTCCCGTTCCTCGGAGCAGAACGTTTCGCGTGGCGGTTCTGTTGTTACGGGCGGTCGCTTCAGAGGAGATCGAGTGGTCTTGATTCGGTACGTTCCGGAGGGCGTGCAGATTATTCGAGAATGCGTGGAGTTTCGTATATCTTGCGAAACGTATTCAAAGAGAGTTAAACTATTCTTTCTGGGATACCGGCTCTATATTCTTAATGAACTCCTACCGTACCTTACACTTGCACTGGTGATTTTCGTTCTGCTATAACTTTTAAATAATATGTTTAATACAGTTCTTCCAGATACTTCTGACGATATGATCGGATAGGTTTATTAGGTTTATGATCGAGGACAGCACTCCTTTTGAACCTTTAGATTATACGATGACTTCGGTAATAGTATTATATTTGTTGAATTTTTAACGATTGTACATGCGAACACCTTGTATTTTCTGGTTGTTCAATGGTATTAGCTTTGAAGTAATTAGTTTTTCTCGTTTTACTAAGTGAAATAAATGTGTACATCGTTTGACATGTGAACGTGTATTTAATATGTGTATGAGAGCACCGAGCCCATCAGACCAACAGTGGTGCGTATTAAGCTGTCGTTTCAGATGGAATTCGCTCGCCGTGTGCACTCTCCGGTGAACGTACCTTTTCGAGAATAGTGTCGGTTGTCGGGACACCCCGTGAAAATGTAGCAAAAGGGCGACCTGTACATTTTATTCACGCCACGAATTCGTTTAACGCCGGGTAATTTACTGAGATTTTAATATGTATATTTGCGACCCTAAGGAACATAAATCTCGAAAGAAACGCTTTATTATTGTTTATTTGTAATTTCGTTTTGTTTGACAGAGGACATATTTTCGTCCGTCCTCCGGTTTCCGCTCGAACGATACTCGTTCAACGTGCCCGCAGACACATGCGATATAATATATAATTAATAATAGTATCATAACATTATTTTGTAGCGTACGAAAACGTTGTTTTTGGTTTGTTCACGGGCATTTCAAATACAATAGAACCAACTGGCACGATATTACATTATAAAACGACCGGAAAATCGTGACTTGGAATATTAACGCAGTCGGGTTTCACCTCACCTCATTCCGAAACCCGTTGAAGAAGAAGAAGAAAAAAAAAATATAACAGAATCGACCTTCGTTGCCCATCTGCTTTCGTTATAATATTATCTCAGAATAATTCTTCGTACTTTCCGAATACGAATCAATGTAACGACACGCATTTATGCGTATTTACATAAATAATATTATAACAACAGGACGGTTTGCCTCTACCATAAGTATTTCATTGGGAAAAGAACTCGGGGAGGGGGGGATTTACGTGAAAAACAAACCAGCCACTCTTTGGATGCTCAGGACTTCGTTCTCGCGTAGAAAAAAATAACACAATATCTTGGGACGTTTTACCCGTTAAGTGGTTCACCCGACGATGATGGCGGTGGTTACAAATAAAAATAATAATACGCGGTCGGTCGGTGTGCTGGGGGTGATAGGTGAAAGTAGAAAAAGAAATAACGTGGGAACAGGTGTGATGTGGCCACGGGGGTGGCAGTAGTGTGGATTTACGACACGACAAAAAAACGTACCTACGTAAAAAAAAAAAAAAAAGGGAGTAACGTGAAATACTCTGCGGTCGATTTTAAACGTAGGGCGATTGATCCGCGGGAAAACTACAAAACAAACAGCACTCTTTATCATATGTGGGGGCGTTACACGGGTTTTCGAGTGAACCAATTTTTCCATCCGTATGAACGGAGATAAATCACGATTATTGTTATTAAGGTATTTATTTCAGTGGCGTATAACTTAAAAGAAGATATTTTATTTATTTTTTAGTTTGAATGAGGGAGTTGGTGAAGACGATAAAATAACTTTCACTGTGGTAATTAGTAATAACAAACGATAATATATGTGTCTATAATACGAGTAGTTGATAACAATTTGCATTCGTTACAAGTCCCGGATTGTTGCGTATATTATCATCATCATATTATTATATCGTTATCAAAAAAAAAAAAACAATAATTTTTTAACAATTCAATCCGAATCATTATATACTCACAAACAAAATAAACAATAAAATACATTAATTACAAAAAAAAAAAAAAAAACTCGATACAAGTAGGATTAACTAATTTTGCTTTTAAATAGTTAATCCCAAAATCTTCGGATACCGAGATTTTAATGCTTTCGCTACTTTTCGGCACGTCACCGCCGTAGTTAATGCGGATAAGTACCTATAGAATGTATTAACAAAATGCAATATTTCCCCTGTGTGACTTTTAAATGCATTTTAATTATCAAAACGGAATCTTGTTGACCAGAGTAAAGTCTGCGCATAGACTTCATAAGTACCGATACCATATATATATATATATATTATTAAATTCGTTTTCAACCGATTCGGGTGCAAATTTACAATCTAATAAACTGCACTATAATATAGAACGTTGCAGCACATTGCAGAGGGTCCACTCGCTCCATCACTCACATCTTTTTAGAACTCGTACAAACGTTTATTTTAATATTTCGATTACAGCCAATAAATATTCGTTCGTTCAAACTGAGTATACATAAAACATTACATAATATTATTATGTATATGAATACTGAAATAATATCGTTTCGTTTATTAAATAAATACAGAGCGTCTCACGGTGATATCGTTATTGCGATATCTCGGAAAGTATTAACTTTTTTCAACACTATATTTTTTTTGACAATTTGAAAAACTAGCAGCTCTAAAATGTTGCTTTACAGTTGTTTTCAACGGCGAATCGATTATTTAATTTTGATTCATGTAGTTACATACGTTGAAAATTAGAACCATACCCGTTGGCGGGATATTTCGCTTTTAAGTTTGGGTGTAGGGGGAGAGTATTGGAGCACCATTTGTGTGGTAACACAGCGCACCGAGTTTGAATAGTGTTCTGCTTCGCTATACTCCCTTTGTGCATACTCAAAAGCGGAATATTCATTGACGGAAATAAAAAACGTCAACGCCAAAATTTATTTTGACTTATAATGCGTCTATTTATAAAATGTTTATAATATAGATCGCTATTTGAAAATTAAAAGTAATTAGTCCGGTTCACTATCATAAATAAAGGTGAAGACAAAAAAAAAAAATAATGTTAATATACAATGTGAGAACAACTTGTTTCTTAAATATTCTAAAACAAGAATTACGAAACAAGTTAATATTTTCCAAGGGATACCCTGTACAAAAAAATACAAATATACAAATTTGAAATGTCGACAGTAGTACATAATATTGAACAAATATGCATTAGGATAGTAAAAATTCACTTAAACACATAAATAATTTTGTGAAATGTATCATACGATTTAGTAGTTATGGTTTTTATACCACATTTAAACGAATTTTGACAAAACGATACCTTATTATAGTACATAAAACTGCCGGAAATAAAATTGTTGTTTGTATAGGTATTTTGAATAATTTATTAAAACTTGTGTGCCAAAAAAAAAAAAAAAAACAGAGAAACACGTGTGTTTAATTAAATCATTAACCTTTTTGCATGATGTTTACTCTTCTCGTTAAGGGTTGTAGATTTTCGGACGATGAAGTTCATTTGTTTTTTTTTTTCAAACGACCTTGTGGTGTTGAAAAAGGACACCTGAACATCGAATGATAACAAAAAAAAAAAAAACTAAAGTATTAAAATTGTGTGCGAAACACAAACTTTAACATTGAAGAATTTTATAAAAAAGGGTTGAAAACTTTCGAGTGGATTATACTTTATAATAAACATAATATTATTATTATACCTTCACCTATATAGAACGATATTATTTTGTATAAAAAGTACTTATTTTTTCTGCTGTGTATTTGCTTATATTCGAATTTTATTTAATTACTGCGTGATTTTTCGACCACAGAAAAAATTTTAATACAATTTAAATTTAAATATTAAGGGACTTTTTATTTTTAGACTCCGAGTGTAGTGAAGAAGCAGTTTTCAGTTTTATAGGGACGTCTTATTCTTTAGATTATACATTTTTTGTTAATTAAAATTGTTCCCATTATAGTGCCTTGACCCTTATTTTCGGTATATCAAATCATTGTAATATTTGTTTAAATCAGTTAGATATTGGAGATGTTATTGCGAAAAATCCGCATCCGATGTTTTTCAAATTTGAAAAAAAAAACACGATCCCCACTAATATAAACATTCGGTTCTATATAATCTTACCTTTTTAATTGTTCTTAACATGCATTACATTATATCGACAAACTAAACTAGAATCGATCAGATTATTTCATTTTCCTATTTCCCTCAACCGTGTCGCGAACCCTTTTCATCTGTAAAATAGTAAACATATTATTTCGTGTTATAGACTACAGATATTTTTAACCCGTATAATTTTTGGGCCCCACAACAAGCTGCTAATTACTTTCGCCTCAGAATAGATGGACAAAGGTAATTTTTTTAATAATTGCGTCGTATGCATTTTGTTTTCCTTTATCTTCTATTCATTTAAATGTTATAAGGGTATGTATATTCGAGAACACAATACGTTACATCGGAAATTAAAATATCTTATGTTCAAATTATGTACTTTTTGTTTGACAAATAAGACATTAGTCATACAATTATATGAGTTTAGTTATTAGGAACGCGTATATTTAGGTTAGCCCATTATGCAATTTAGTCAATTAACAATTATTTTTTTCAGACTCTCTTTTATGTGGATTAAATTTCGAAAATCCTGGTTTAAGGCACACGTGTATCCGTTTCTATGGAACATTTCTAGACCTCAAGGTGCGATTACAGATTCTTCTATGGATCACACGTACAGCCAGATGAAAATCATAACAATACTTCATCTTGTCAACATATAAAAATATATTAAATATAATTTCCGATAGTTCATCTCGACTTTATGACGTTTTGTTTATTTACTATATACCTATACCCATCATAATAATAATTGACACGCAGACACAATTATTGATTTTTACTACCTACGTTAGTTGATTCTCGTTAATTAATGTCTCTCGTCTCATGCATACATTTAGTCAAGTATTTATATTTATACGTATACAAACTGATAAGTGGTAATGTTGAAATTATATACATTAATTACATTTAGAGAATTCGATATTCTGATTCTTTTATCTTCCTTCCAGTGGCGGCTCATTGGTAAAATAATTGGTGGTGCTCATTTAAAAAATTGTATATAATAAGTACGGTCGATTCAGAATACAGGAATTAAAACAAATATTTTAGCGAAATATAAATATAATTGCATTTTTTTATTTTTATTTTATAAGAGGTTCTCAGATAGACATTTACAGTATATTAGGGAACTAATATGTTTGTTTTTTTTACATTACATTAAATAATATTTTTGGGAATTTAATGTGAACCAGGTTCGTCAGAATTTTCTATAGGTTATTATTGGAGTTAACGCCGCTCGCCGGACAAATTTAATATTATCCAAAAGAAATTATCGGTTCTCGTTGAACCGAAACAACACACTTTCTCCCTGTGATGAATATGAGGGGAGGAGTTGGTAACAGGATAACACAGCCACATCCCTTTTTGTCAAATTATCTTCAGAAACAGAGAAATTTGCACTTCATTGTATCTGTTATATACATGGTGATTCATTAAGTATGCTCACTCCATTTTTATGGTTAAATTTTGCATAAATTCTAATTCTAATTTTTAAAATTGTTAATTATAGTTATATCTGGTATATTCGAAAACTTAGATTTTTAGAAACGTAAAGAAATATAAAGTATAAACTTTATAAAAGATGATTTATTTTCAAAGTTCCCACCCCCCTTGAAAAACATCCGGGTCCACCACGGCTTGCATCAATCGATAAATTTATATCAAATTTTAGTTGCGTTTTGGATATAATATATAGTTGGTTATGTTTTTTAAATTCTTTTTACTTTTTATAATAATAATATATGTGATCGTAATGATTTGTTTGTATATTTTCTTTGATTACACTGAAAAAAAACCTCACGACATTAAATAATGATTTTCACGACAACTTGCGACAGCTTATCTCGGTTTTTCGATGGAAATATAATTTTTGTTTGCCTACTCGTAGTGCGAAACATGTCTGTTATTTTTTTTAAGGCTTACAAACCTCATATGTATACGTTAAATGACCGTAGAGACTACGACAGCAATAATCCGTTTAGTCCGGGCGGTTAGGTTAGGTTGATCATTCCGTGTATTACGGACGTTACAAACCGTCACTGGGATTGTACAACGTTTTATCGATTCTCCGGAGCCTGGAGTAATCGTCACATAGTAGTCGTTCATTTTTGTATCATCTCGAAAGGCGTAAAAAATCGGGCTTACTACGTTATAACGTGCTTATTATTCGCGAAATCCGTCCGTTGCAGATTTTCGAGGTTTCTATAAGTGCTTTCTTTTGTTAACGCACGTACACGCCGATATCGCGTAGGTATATTAATAATGCGTGGGTTGGTCTCCCGACGCTTGACCACGTATAATGTAATCCGTGTACATATCCGGTAAAGAGGAGGTGATCGGTAGAACGTACAAAGGTACCGCATGACTGCCGTATGTGTGAGTATAACTACTTACGTTTATACCGGACAGATGACGGCGAACGGAGGGATTTAGAGCGAAAAATAATTTACGATTTTACCGATTCGGCCTACTATAATAAATTTATATCGTTTTTATCAGTCTTAAGTCGTCTTCGTGACTTGTTCACGTCCGTCTATATACTCTCGCAAACTCGCCGGGATTGTAGTCATTCGCTCCTGTTGGAAACTGCATTCTTATCCCTCGGATTCCTCAGATACGATTTATTGTCTGGATTTTCGGATTGCGGATCGGCCATCAGGAAAAAATCATGAGCTTACAAACCGGCAACTATCAATAACATTGAATATCTGGACAACCTAGACACTGATCTCGAAGTTTTCCTGCAAGCGACTATTAAAATAGACCAGGATTTCGGAATGATACATTAATGTAAGATAATAGTATTATATGAATAATATTGATTATATGCTACGTCGGATGTTTGAAGGTAAGATAATTTAATAAATCCGTGATTTACATTTTCACCATAGACATTATAAGCGTTATCATTGCGATAGGTTGAAAATTTCAAATGATATAAATGAAAGATCGTGAAAGATAAGCTGATTGACCATAATATGATAATTATAGATACACAGTTTCAACGTTTATGATAACTACAAGCACTTTAGTGATAAAATTTGCCCTATATTTTATCATAATAATTTTCCCCGAGAGAAATTGAAAATCGATATCTTTTTATCTGTGAAAAACCCACACATTGTCAGTTGCTCTCACAAATATTATATATTGGCTATCTTTATTTTATTTTGTCTATCGTTTCTGGTCTCTTTATAATACGAGTGCCAGTATATCAAATGTCTATTTCGAAAATCATCTCGCCCGGATGAATACTGAGCGCGATTTGATTCACGAGTGCGCCGCAAGAGGATCATCTACGCGAGTATTGTCCGTTTTGCGATAATGTTATTTTGATCGTTTTCCCTATGGACCAATTGAAATATAGTAATATCGTAACCTTGTGTAATAACAATAATGATAACAATATGATTTTCACGAGTCTAAAATGTATATCCTACAAAGGCCACCGTGACTGCAAGATTCATTCTGCAGTTTGCCTGGGATAAAATGATCACCATAGATAAAGGAAATATAGATCATCATCATAGTGGTTCACTCCAGTGGCACCATCTGACGGAAATTGCTTGTAAGTACTAGCTACACCGGATATTTACCACAGAAATAACATTAAAAAGTTGGAAACGATATAAAATTGCTGATACTGTGATAATGCTGATGGGTGTTACATTTTTTTAGGTGGGAAATTGAAAGGAAGGAAATATGGATTAGGTAATTTAATTTATATCCGTAAGCAAGTATAAATCATCACCAATGAAAAACGATTTTGCATAGAATATTATTAGTCGTATTTTTTTCTTTGTCACCAATGTTACCTATAAATCAATTAAACAAAAAATTACCTTTTTTTCTATTATTAAAAAAAAAAAAAAAAAAAAAAAAATTAGAAATAGAGCAAGATTTTCTGGTCGGTAAGTTGTTTAAAAAAAAAAAAATTTAAATCATAATAAAATAAAATACCTATGATATTTACTATAATTATTGATATTTGATAAACCTACCGATATATGACTGATAGTAATATCTAATATTGATAGACTATAATAATGTTTAACCACGAAGTGTATTACTAGGGCAGTGAATGGAAATTGTTTTAATAAAAACGAAAAAATAAACTGTTTCTGGATCTCTAAGTTGAGTATTTATATTTTCTATGTATAGGTAGGTATACATTATACATTTATATAATGATGAGGAATACTATAGTTTATAGTCTTTTCTGTGCTGGAATGCTGTTTTTTCGTTTATTATTGTATCCACTATTTATATTCAAGAATAGACGTTAATTAGTCAAAAAGTTAAGTTGATTTCGATTTACTTTATTTTTTAATTTTTAACACAATATTACATTTATATTTGTTATAATTTATTTAAATATAACCATTGATATATCTTATCTGTCCACTATAAAAATAATATAGTTATTATACAGAGCGATCGAAATATTTAATTTTTCGTACAATTTATAAAACAAGCAGCTTTAAAATGTTACATTTTCATTTTTTTTCATCAATCTTTGTTATGACGGTTAAACCACTTCCAACTTTTAATTTTTAAATAGAGATCAACGTTGACAAATTCCATAAGCAGATGAAGTTTTAGTTTAAATACATTTTAGTGTTGACATTTTTAATTCCCCTCCATCCGTTACTGAAATATTCTATTTTTAAGTTTGGATCGCGAAAGAGTAGTAGAAACACTATTCAAACGTCACACAGCCATACACCATATAATGACGTTCCACTACTTTCTTCGTTTCTGTTATTTGTTTTCATTTAAATTAAAATTAAAATCTATACACGTATAATATAATTATTACAATGGCGTAAATGACAGATAGGAAGACCCCTAGTAGCGCCGTCCAAAAATTCAAAGTGAAATACGTATTTAAACTATAATGTTCGATGTAGGTTGCTATTCGAAAATATAAAGCGAGTAACGATAACGTTATAGGACTGTTTGTTCGCATAAATTGTCAAAAAAAAAAAAACAAAAACAAAACAGAATTCCGAAGAAAGTCAATATGCATTCCGAAATAATTAACGCGTGTTATCGAGGATTGATCACTCTGTATAATACCGAACCGTAACGCGCGTCCACACACGTCATTAATTAAGTATCGTGTGTATACGCGAACTGCTGCTGTGGTTTCGACGCAGAGACTATCGCCAAATCGGTGGGTAGTTAGGTAGGTAGGCACGGATGGAAATTAATTATCGCTTTTCAATAAAGGTCGAAAGTATAAATACGATCGCGACGACGGCTATAATATTCAATACGGGTAGGTGGTACCGAACTCCGGGTTTCCGAGTTCCATTCAAAATCCCGTTCTCTATATATTATCGTTAAACTCGACTTGTTTAACATTATATATATATATATATATATATACATGGGGATGGATGGATGGATGGATGGATGAAGAGAGTGAGAGTGAGAGTGAGAGAGAGAGAGAGAGAGTGAGAGAGAGTTGATTTATTTCCCGGCCCGTTATTCCGCCGCGAGTCGCGGAGTCCGTCCTTTATCTTTCGAGACATCAAATCATTTTGAAAGAGTCGCCTACCGATAAATTTCACGTTTCGCGCGCTTTACCTATAATACAGGGAAATAACTCCTGCTCGTATGCATACGTCTTACTTTGCACAAATCGCTGGTCGTTACGGCGAGGAAGGTTTAGAATAGAAAAAAAAAAAAAACCTCGCAATTGTATTTTCTTTCCGAAATGACGGCTCTCCCGCGGAGACGAGGGACTTTATTTTGTTTTTATTGGCGGGCGAATATCGGGATTTCCGGTAATCAACGTTATTCCCGCGCCACAGTCAAATCGTGTACAACGAGGCGGTTTGATATAATACGCGGGGTTATGCGCGTCGCGTACCGTGCTTACAAGTTCGAGTGTAATGCTAATGAAATCCGCGCTTTATAAGTATAATGATATATGATTCGATTTCAACACACGGAATCGCTGTAATGACCGTAATAATATTATTGTACAGCTGCATTTTATTTTTCCGCTAACGTAACATTAGTCAAGTCGAATCGAGCGTAGAGAAAAAAAAAAACTGTTAGTTTCGCCGAGATTTGTTTTTCTTTATTTCAGAAAACACTACGGGTTAAAATGGTACGAATTTTTTTTGGTACCCCAAAAAATACCTACGGGATTTTTTCCGCTCGGTAATGACTCACCTTAGAGAAAATGTTTGAAATTGCCCGTGGTGCGCCCCTGGGATCTTTTTTTCGCGGAAAAGACATTTTCATTTGATTAAAACGCTCCGAATTTCTCGCGTATCAGACTTTAATCAAAACGAACTATCTCAAATTGCTAACAGATTTTCCGTTAAAAACTCAAACAAACCGAAAAAAATTATTAATAAACCAGTTTTATTTCTGGTCGATTCTAGGTTACTGCTCCGCTTAGAATAGTGTTTTGATAGCAATGATTTATCGTTGCTTTCAGCGTATAAATTAAGCAACACTTCATCCTTTATACAT